ATCTGTCTTTTCTGGCCGTGAAAATGAGGATGTCACAATTGTTCTCCATGATTTTGACCTTTCGAGTTCATCTTTGGTGTTAGGCTTCATTAAGCCACGTAAAGGCTTCAAACAATCGACTTTATGGATCAAGTCACTTATATTTAGCTATTTTGAGGTTTTGGACGTATTGGCTTAATGGATTAAGAGCGAGAATGAAGAGTTGGTCAACAGGAGGAGTGCGTTGGGTGTACAAGACTGTACGCGCAACACATACGCTCTTAAGCCAATACACTTAGGGTACAAGCTGAGTATGCCCTGCGTACTCATGTTTTAGGCAAACTTAAATAAATATTAAAATGGAATTTTGTACTAATTTTCTTCGGCTTATAGTTGAAATTTCTGAAATTGAAAAATCTTTAATTATTATTCACAATTGTTTTACTTATGTCAGTTATGCACAGAGACAAACACAACACATAGACTTGCAAATAGTGATTCATATGAAGCATATGTAAATATTTCTTTACTAAACAAATTTCTTTAAACAAAAAATGTACTCCATAAAAAATAAAATCTTTTTATGAAGTTGTATTTTTTGTTTCTATCGATAAATAAAACGTTAAATAGTTATTTTTGTTTTCTTATATCTATGTATTTTATAATATGTTCAAGCATGCTCTTCTTTTTGTTTATTGTTTATTGCAATTGATTGACCAAAATTTAACAATTATTTACCAATATTGTCCTATACCTGGGCAATAATATGGTCTACAAGGACCTACTATTCGATCCAATAAAAAGATCTAATCAAATCTCACACATCATTTTCCTCATCTATTTTTCTCTGTTATAAATAAAAAAATCAAACTTTGAAGCACCAATGTAAACAACTTTTTCCATATAACCAAGAATGAGATAATCAGAAAGAAATAGAATATGAATATTATAAGAGAATACATGAAAAACAATTTTTTGTTTGGTGCTATATAAAAACCAAATTGACAGAATTTCAAAAAAATAAGTAAGTTACCAAAAAATATAACAAGAAAAATCTTAATTATCGGTTTAAAGTGGCATCATATTTTTTTTAGTTCAACCCAACATAATTTGATCACTGGAGTTTTTGATATAATAACTTTTTTATAGTGGGAATTTGACAGCAAACAAAAAGGAAAGTTTCCACAACAATATTACATCTTTTGACAAAATCCATGTTTGCTAATAGATTGGACAACATCATATCTCTTATATATTTGAAAGATATTTAACAGCAAAATAATAATGTTTACCATAAAGGTAAAAACTACAAATTCCATAAATTACAACAAAAGAAAAAAAACGATCATACCTTGTTTTAGCTACTTTTGTTTCAAGAAACTCATTGGATGGATTTATATGAACTTGTTGTGTGCATAGTAATGTTCCACAAGTTGCAACACATTGATCATGAAAATTGCCACAAAAAAATTATTAAGCACACTTAAGTAATTAATTTTCTTTATCTCTATGAAATGAAAAAAAAAGAGCAACATATACAAATTACAAATTGATTGTAATACATTCCTTACTTCTCAATTGTCTCTCTCCCATCTGGTAGTGTGTTAGCATCGTTAACTTTAGATGATAACTGTGAGTTGTGTATTTATTGAGATAGAAGTGGAGCAATCAGTATCTAAGTTTGAAGAAGTGAAGATTGAAGAATAAGAAGAAATAAAGATTACGCTAAGAAAATTAACAGTTAGCAATTAACATATAGATTCGTTATTTTGGATGTTGGGAGTTCATTATGTATTGAGATTTAAAGCAATGTATGTATTTAAATTCTAAATTCCAGTATTCCATTATAGTAAATGATTTCGAAAAAAAAAAACATTCTTCCCTTTTTTAACACAGAAACAAGTGTATTCACAAAAAGAAAAACTCATACAATTACGTGAAATAGTTACAAACTTGAATTGGTTATTTAGTAAACGAAATTATTTGACTTAAAAAGGCAAACACAAATAAATCTAACTATGAGTTGCTACAGACAATCATAAAGAAAGTTAAAACTACAAAACGAAAATATAAATGGAGAAGAAACCTAACCTTAACGTGATCAACTGAAAAGAAAGATAGGCAAAGACGATTGCCGGTAAGATTAAACTTGAAAATGGAAATAACTGATGACTTACGATTGCTAGAAACTTTCAAGAGTTTGTGTGTGCCGGCCGCTTGAAAATATGGGATATGATTTTGAAGCATGAACTTGAAGTAAGAAAACATAAATCTGATTTAGGGTTTATATGTTCATATATAGCACATAATAAATCCATGTCTGATAAAACGAATCGACGGTATTGGAAAAAGGAATTTGATTTGTAATACCTGATATTAAAAATCTTTAACGTTTCAACTTTCGAGAAGGTTTCTGATGCCAAGACGTTCGAGGCGTGAAGCGTGGAGGATGGAGCAATAATGGCCAATATGTGGATTTTAATGTTTCAGAAAACCAGTAAACTTGGACGTTTAAAACAAATCTGTCATATCTACAAAAGGTTTAATGCTTAAAATCATGCCTTTCAATAATAAAAAAAACCCTAGAATAAATTATAGTTTTATGTGGAGTCTAATGATAGGATCAAGAAACCACGTGGTGTATTTGTTTCTAATTTATTGAATTAAAGATAATGTTCATCAACAGAATATGCAATAATATTTGAGTTTATTATCTAAACATGAAATAATTAATACATAACTCATTTAATCGGCTGAAACATTTTATATACTTTGTGTCAAAATCTATTTTGTTATTAAATCTGCTATACAATCTTATATATATATCATGTTAAAAAAAACTATTTTGTTAAATAAATTGATAAAATATGAAAACATTAAATTGATAAAATATGAAAACATACATAAAACTCATTTAACATGCTACCGGTCAATTTTAATAATACAATGAATTACTTTTATATAAACAAACATGTTAAATTAATGTCTAAAATTTCATTAATAAATTTAAATGTTTTTTTTCCTTTTTATTTTTTTTTATTTTTGCAAAAACATATTATTTTATTTACTCACGTTTCAACAAATGTAAAATGTACAGAATGTGTTGCCTATTTGATAGTAGAATAAAACCTCACCAAAATAAAAATCTATGGAGATTTGTAACTTCCATTGCATGAATAATAACCAAAAACCAGATTAGCTTCAACTTTTCACAACAAATAAAAAATGTGTGGAGATTATTCAACAACTTGTTAAAACAATCTATTAACGAACCACTTTTGTATAGTGCAACTATGAACATAAAAACTATAACTCATAAAGTTCGGGATTGAAAAAAATCCCAAGAAAACCCTAGATGAACAATTATGTTCTCTCACATTGGAGTTATATGTATGTACAATGCGACACAATGTTTAATATTCCATACACCTTTTATTTTAAGTGATGTTGTACCCTGAGATGGATGCACAATCTACAACCAACCTCTTACTCAATGGATATTTCATAACATCTGATTGAAATAAAATCACGAGAAAACCTTTGATGAAAAGTTGTGTTCTCTCACATCGGAGTTATACGTATGTACAAGGGGACACAATGTTTAATATTCCACACACCTTTGTATTTTAGGTGACCTTGTACCCTAAGATGGATTTTCACAGTCTACAACCAACCTCTTACTCAAGGGATATTTCATAACATCTAAATAGAAACATTCAAATGTCACATTCGAATCAATCTACAATTGGCGTGTCTTATATCGCCTCTAAACATTTAAGAAACTTTATCTTCTCTAGATAACAAGCAAAAAAGTTAGTTGAGATGAGAAGTTTAAATTTATCTTTTAAGGGTCCTTATCAATTAGCACCACAATTAAATAATGAACGCCAAAATATAACGTTTATAGAGTAAGTAAATAGTTGCCTGTTTCACATCTTAATGGTTTTATATAGATGTTGCCTCTTGTCAAATTCATAGCGTTTGGTTGGGTTTTATATATCCTCTTATTCCATCGAAGCACTCTCAATTGGCTCTGAAGCATTCAAGCCTCCAACGAATCTAAATGAGAAAAAAAAACCCTCAAGTTTTGATGCGTACTCCTCTAATACATCCAAATGAGATACAAAAGTCGTTATCAACGGTGGTGATAAGCTCGACCTTCATCAGAAATTTAACGATGGTGGCAAGCCATCATAGTTGGACATGACGCAACAATCATCATGACCCAATGCCTCTTTGTGTGTCATCAAATTCTCATCGTCTTCGAAAGAGAATTTTGTCAATATGTTTGCCATATTAATATGGTAGCATGCATATTTGTTGGAGGTAACAAAGAGAACATAATTAGGTGTATTTTTTTTTTCTGTTGAATCGATCAAATTACATTCATTCAAGTATGTATCAAAGATAGAAGTATAATGCGCCCGAATGTTGATAAGTTGAGTTTATGCACTCAAGGCAATTGGGAGATCTTGAAAGTTTGGATTGTTTGTTGGAATTGTGTTACGTACTTGCATTGTCGCATTGTTTAATTGAGTATGTGTAGTCTGTACATGTGATGTAATTGTATATTTATAACTTGCAAAAATATGTGTGTATAATGTAATTGTGTTGAATATTGTATATATGTAACACATTGAGTATTTATAGCTTAAAAACATTGTGTATGTGTCTATCGTTCAAGAATTCATGCAATAACTTTATAAAACAACACTAGTCGTGTAGGCATATAAGGACAAAATTGAATTTAAAGTATGTTAAAAGTTTAGAGAAAATTGCTAAATTAGGTTAAAGTAAAGTTTTTCAAAAAGGCAACGTTGTATTTTTAGTAAATTAAAGGGTTTAGGATTTTATATAATAATCATGTAATTTGTAATGAATTTTGAAATAATAAAATAATAAACAAAAGCAAACTAAGTATCGACTGATTCGACCCGACTGGTATGATGAAAGCCTAGGTAAACCTTCGCCGGATTAACAAATTGGCAGCGACGATTGAACCTGCCACTGCGGTGGCGGTGATGGTGGCGTTCGTAGCACACGACCATCTCAACCAGCTTCATATCTACTTACGACATTCCTATGCACCGCCGCCCACCTCCGCCAAAATGCCGAACCCGCCACAACTGTTTCACGGCCTACGCTCCATCCCATTGCCGGCCTTCCCTCCTCCAATCCCATCGCCGTCATCCGCGACGCGTTCAAGTGTTCCGTCGCTCAAGCCGTCGAATAGATACCAGAAGCCCCTTCTACAGCTTCCAGGCCTTCCTTGTAAAAATATGAAATTTCCGCTTCAGAATTGAAAATATTCAACAACCCAACTGGTAAATGCTTAATTCATCTTTTATTTACAAATAATTTGTGGTTTTATTCTGCATCAGCATGGAATCTAAAGTATTTGAATAAGATGGTTAGGATTTAGGATATGTGACAATGAACCTAGTTTGATCTTTTTGTTTAACAATTAACATTGATAATGATATATGGGATTGAAAGTTAAGTTGTGAGAAACTTGTATGTATCTGAATAAATCTTTAAATCTGATACATGCATCAAATTTCATGTTTTGGCACCATAACAGACTCTGTTTCTATTGCTGACTTAGAGGTTAAAATTTGTTTTGATGATATCATTATTATAACAAGCCTTTTTGTATAAGATATAAACTATATAATATATATGCACTCTGATGCTTCTTTCCTTTTTCATTTACATGATGAAGTAGTGACGAAAGGAGGAGAAAGGAGCAATCACAAACCATTCTGAATGAAGCTTTTTCAAGACTGAAAGAAATCTAAGGATGGACCAAGTGGTAAATGCTCAATTAAGTCAAGTCATGTTTTTATTTTCATCTGATTTCTTGTGTGTGTGTGTGTGTGTTAAAAAATAAGTAACTTTCTTTATCCTAAGTAGTACTAGTAATACACAAGTGCACATGCTGTTTTAAGAATATAAATAGCCATGCATGACCCTTCAGTGTATTCTATGGCTGTTGATTAAATATCATAGAATCACCACCTTTTCAACCAGTACTTTTGGGCATGCCATTGGTTTTTATACTAGGGAATGTTCTAGTGGAGCCCACTGATTGAGCAATTTTCCAACAAAAATGAAAAAAAGTTGTATTTTTTCATGAAATAGGTTGTCATTGCGTTGTGATAAAAAAAGTGAAAATGAGGTGGTTTTTATGATATAAACTTGCCATGCATGTTTGGATATTTTTGTGATGAGCCCATGAAAAACCATGTTTAAGTGTAATTGATTGAAATTGTAGCAGGTTGAATGCAAGAAAGAGCAACATTCTTTTACTTGTTGTTATAGCATTGTATTTTGATATTTTAACCGATTAGTAATGAAACACTGCGAGTGGAATTAGAGAGACTGCTCTTGCTAATGACACCCTCGGAATCTTCCTGAAAGAAGATAGTGAAAGTCGTGAGATTTTCCATCAATATGCTACTGAACTGGTGAAGAGCAATGATCTTAAGGATCTGTTGCCATATGGTATTGCAATTCATAATGAAGAAATGGATAGGGCTGATCTTCAACTCGTTGAGAAACTATTTGCTGATGGACACATTAAAGTACTGGTTTCCACAGCTACTCTTTCATGGAGTGTGAACTTGCCTTATTCCGACACTGTGATTATTAAAGGAACCCATATTTATAACCCAGAAAAAGGAGCATGCACAGAGCTTGGTTCTCTGGATGTTATGCAGATGTTGAGACGTGCAGGGAGGCCACTGTTTGATGCTTATGGTGAAGGGATCATTATAACCGGACATAGTCAGCTGAAGTATTATTTTTCACTCATGAAGCAACAACTTCCTATTGAAAGTCAGTTTGTGTCCAAATTGGCTCATCAGTTGAACGCAGAAATAGTTTTGGGAACTGTGAAGAATGCAATAGAAGCAATCGAGTGGCTTGGTTACACTTATTTATACATCCGTATGGTGCGCAACCCTACACTGTATGGTTTATCAGCTGATGCTCTCACAAGAGATGTTCTACTCGTGGATAGGAGAGCTGATCTGGTAGGTTTTATAATACTATTCTTCTGACAATATTAGTAAATGTATGTTAATATATAGTTACTTTTCTTTGCATTGCAGGTTCATTCTGCTGCCACGATACTGGATAAAAACAATCTGGTGAAGTATGATAGGAAAAGTGGGGATTTTCAGGTTACGGATTTGGGTCGAACTGAGAGTATATAACTCATGGAACTAGCTATTGCCAGTCATCCCATGTGTAACTCTTATAACTTGGGGTGTGATCAGGAGTAGTTTTTCTGTTGATGTGAAAGTACTGAAAGTTGGAGCAGGAGCAGGAGAAGGAGATGATGACGATAGAAGAGATTGATATAATTTGTATTTCATGATGATTTTATGTAGTATTTGATTACTGAAACTGTTTTGCTTTTGGAATTTGCAGTGTTCGGTTCTTTGATTTGGATGGAAGTCTATTGGTGATTAATGATATCAAATTATGTATTTTTATTTTTGGTCGTATGTATTCTAGTTGCTTTAAAAAGCTTCATAAAACATAGTTTTTGGTGTAAGAATGTTAGGAACCTTAGTTTTGGGAGATGATGAATCGTCTCTCATTTGAAATTAAATCATCCAGTATGTATAGTAGTTTCATTACTTAAAATAAAACTATGAGTTGAAATCCCTGAAATCATCCGGTATAATATATAGTAGTTCTATTAATTAAAATAAAACTAATGAAGAATGAAATCCCGTAAACAAAAGATTAGTTTATACTATTGTGAGTCGTATAACCATGTTTGATATGACTGATGACCTCTACGACGTTCTTCAGGCGTCGGACGGTATGATATTTGTCACCCCAGGCATGTCTGCCTAACTGTAGCTAGCAGTTTAGGTGTGGGATTGTCAGTCCCGAATAGATCTATTCACAAATCTCATGCTCTTCCTCCGGGAGACTCTGGTTACACTAAAAGATAGGATTTAATTTGTACCCCGAAAGGTACATTTTGAAGAGTTGTCTTACAATCCTGTATTAACTAGCTTACGTGTAGTTCTGTATTGATCTATTGTATTTAAATACGTTTGGATATTTTATAGAGTAATAATTATACTTAAATAATTATTTAGTAAAGTATTCTTGCTACCCGAGAATATCATAAACTAAGTCTGTCTTAGTTTGTATGTCTTTAAGTATAAAACCGTGTATTGAAATTCCAAACTATACCTATAGTAGTTTGTAGGTAGGTTATGTACATGGTTTGTGTATTGATTAGAAAACTATGCAATTATGCTTAATAGTTGAAAACGTCCCTTATGCTCAGGATGTTACAAAAGGATAAAATATCCAAATATTTTATAAAATGTGGAAACCGTATGGTTGTATTAATTGCATCAGTTTTAAGTGTATTGAAATCCTTTTTGTATAAATTCACAAAGTCATTTGTGTTTGGCTTGTATCCCCCTAAAAACGTTAAAAATAAATAAAAGCATAGGGGTATGAACTCACTGTTAGTTGCGTGAAAGTGTCGGACAACGAAACTGTGAATGAAAACCCTCGGGTTGATGTACGCGACACTTAACAGGATCCTAATAACAATTAATTACATATATGCATTTTATTGGCGAAAACATTATTTATAATGTTGGAAAAACACTTGCTTTTGGTTTATGAATGTTACCGGAACTCGATTGAGTCGGAGAAAGCGGGTTTTCAGCTAAGTTCACGACATAGGTGGGTTTGCGGCAGTGAAGGGTGTCCAGCCGTGAACTGTTCTCGGCCGTGAACAGTTTACTGCTTTTGAATGGTTTACGTCATTTGAAGTTTTGAAGGGTTCACAGTCTGTTCTTGACGAACTATGAAGATTTGAAGGGTTCACGGCCGTGAACTCAAGAACAACAACACTTGATTTGATGAAAAGGTGGGTGTTTGATGCTCCAAAACGTGTTCTAAGGCGGATAGAGTGATAGATGAAGAGAAATATTGTGTTTTCGGTTGATGATTTTTAGAGAGAGAAAGGGTGTTCGCGGCCAAAAAAGTTCAAATGAGGGGTAGGAGCTCATATATATAGTGACGACCTTTAAAGCAACATCAACGACCTTTTAGCGGCGACATCCTTGACTTTTAGCGGTGACGTCGCCACTAACACTCGTTATTCTTGTAGTGAATAGGTACTTAAAGTAAAAATAAATGTTTAATGTAAAAGATATAAATTAAGAAAATGTATAAAGATCGTAGATAAACAAGTTTATATATAATATGTACTTAAACTAAAAAAAAATGTTTAAAGTAAAGATATAAAGAATATGTATCAAGTTGAAGAGTTACATTGCACTAAAAGTTTTAGTGTCCGAAAACGAAATTTGTATAAGAAAACGTTGATTTTTGTGTGGGCCCAATTCAATTCACCCTATTTTTTTGCTAAAACATTTAGAAGCAACATACTTTGTATATTTTTACAAAGGATATATAAATTCACTCTATGTTTTGAGAAAAAACTCTTCTCTACGAGCACTTAAATAAACCATGTGTGGGATAGCTGCCTAGAAAGTAGAAACTATCGCTAAGTGGTGCAAGCCGTCAAAGCTTGTTTGCTTGTTCCTCAGGTCGTTCCGAAAGGGTCCAGAACCGACCCAGAACAGATGTATGATTAGGACTGTTTACTATTCGGATAAAACCGAATTATCCAATTGGACAATTTGGATTGGACTATTTGGTTCGGATATTCGGATTTTTGGATTGGTTTTCAAGAAAAACCGAATTATTATTTTTGGATTTCGGATTGGTTTTGGTTTATAAAATAAGAACCGAATAGTCCAAAAAAACCGAATAAACATTTATTATTTATCTATTTATAATATATATCTATAGTTATTTATTAATTGTGTAATTTATTTTTTCAAATAGGAACGTTTCACCCGATAAAAAAACATTAATACGTATTTTCACTCAAAAGTTTTTTATCTATAAAATATTTAACTATAATATATCTTCTTATTAGTTGTTTATAAATTTCAAATCACAACTAAGTAATTTGTTGCTTCTTGTGTAAAGTTTAGTAATATTATAATTATTTGTCGTTTTAAAATGTTTTGGTTTTTTGAAAACCGAATTATAAAAACCGATCCAACTGAATTGTAATTGGATCGGATCAGATCGGATTTAAATTTAGTTTGGACTATTTGAATCCATGTTTTGAAAACCAAAATCAATTTGAATTCACTTGGATCGCGGATCCATCCAAACGAACACCCCTGTCTATATGTAAGACTAGCTCAGGACGATTTTTGAGGACCTCTACTTGTACAAATACTTGTCCTTCAAGAAAATCACGTTGCAAGTAAACCCTAACCCGTCCGTTGCCCCAAGTAGCCGTCAAGAAAATCAAAATCATCACACAAGTGAAGAAAATCACGTCGTCAACTCGCCGCTGTCCGTTGCCCCAAGTAGCCGTCGCTGCCTGCTGCCCTGAATCCCTAATCCGTCCAAGCTCAGGTAATGTTATTACACTTCAAAAGTTAGATGAACATAGTACTTGTTTATACTGATTTTTGTTGGATATAGGGTTTATCGATATATTTACCATGTTACATAGGTTTGTAATACTTGATTCACTGATTCGATCTGATTTCGGTGATTGTAGGGCCTGTTGAACTAAAAGAGGATGGCACATGTACGTGGTGGTGCTAAGGCAGATGCCCCATTTAACAGACAGAACAAGAGGCAGAGGCGGCATCTTTTAGAAGAGAGTAAAAGAGTTTATCAGCCAAAGACAAAAGAAACTCCAGCTGCATACGAGGCAATGCTTAGTGTGATACAGCAGCAATTGGGTGGTCAGCCTTTGAATATTATTAGTGGTGCTGCAGATGAGATCTTGGCTGTGCTCAAGAATGATACATTGAACAAGAAGAAGGATGTGGAGAAGTTTCTGAATCCTATACCGAATGAGCTGTTTGATCAGTTAGTCTCTATTGAGAGCCTTATAACAGATTATCAGGATACAGCAAATGCCCAAGATGCTCTTGATGATGATGTTGAATTTGAAGAGGATGATGAAGAGACTGATGAGGAGGATATGGATGATGACAAATCACATCAAAGGAATGTTGCTGAGAATGGTGAATGAAAGTTGCTTGACCTTGAGAGCATTGTGTTTGAAGAAGGTGGTCATTTGATAGCAAATAAGATGTGCAGGCTTCCTTTAGGCTCTTATAGAAGCTTTGGCGAGGGATACGAAGGAGTTCATGTGCCACCATTAAAGCCCAAACCTCTTGCACGAGATGAGAAGCTTGTAAAGATCTCAACCATGCCAAGTTGGGCACAACCAGCTTTTGAAGGGATGGAAGAGTTAAATAGGGTACAAAGTAAAGTTTATGAGATAGCTCTATTCAAAGCAGACAATCTTTTAGTTTCTGCTCCCACTGGATCAGGGAAGAGCAATGTTGCTATCCTCACAATACTTCAACAGATAGGTTTGCATATGAATGAAGATGGAACGTTTAACCACAGTGACTACAAGATAGTCTATGTGGCACCAATGAAATCCCTTGTTGCTCAAGTTGTTGGTAACCTTACTAATCGTTTGAAGCACTATGGTGTCAGAAACCTTATCCTCGAACTTGGTCACCATCCAAGATACACGTCTCTGGTCTACTGTGACAACGTTAGTACCATTTACATGTCAGAAAACCCAATTCAGCATCAACGGACAAAACACCTTGAAATCGACATTCACTTTGTACGTGAAAAAGTTCAACGCGGCCAAATCCAGATCATACATGTTGCCTCACGTTACCAAATCGCCGACATCTTCACCAAAGGTCTTCTGCGAGCTCTATTTTCTGATTTTAGATCTAGTCTAAGCATATGTCATCCTCCTCCTTAGACCGAGGGGGTATATTAGACTAGCAAATCAATTATATAAACTATGTGGTAGAAATATGTAAAGATTGTATCTATATATAGTTTCCAATGTAATACACGGAACGTGATTTTGGCCATATTTGTCACACCCCCAAACTGGAACGGCAGAAACGTTCGGGGGCGGAGGACATCATGTTTAGTATCAACACATGTATCATAGTAATCAAAGTAACACACAACCATTGCATTAATATTAAAGTGTTTACAAAGTATGTGATTCACAAAAGTTAGACTCCAAAAGTAAATAACAAAACAAGACATGAAGCTACTATGCTCCATCTTCTGAATCCCAGTGCACATACATGTCTACTAGTTTCCTGAGAATACAAGTTATTTTCAAAGAGTAGATCAGCATTTAAGCCGGTGAGTTCATAAGTATTTTAGTGATGTAAAGTAAGTTGTAAGTTCTTTTAGAATAGTTCGCATGTTCCTCCAGAAGATCCTATATCTTCTAATATGATGAAAGATAAGTAAAAATGGCTCTACAATCCCTTCTATGAGTACTAAATGGATACAAGTAATATAAAACCCAAAGTAAACAGATAATCGATTGTGTGAATCTGCCCTAAGCCCACAACCAAACATGGAACAGGAAATAGGACGGAAGTCACACATCCCATTGTTTGTTAGATCTTCGTTGTATATAACCATGACGTATTCATTTGGTACTCACGGAGTTAACTGTAATAGTTCTTTATATTTGATGAAAACATTCTTTAAGAAAAACCCTTATTTCCTTTAGTAAAAATGGTAACCACAATAGTTCCTTCTATAATCACATAGCTTATACTAGCTATATATAATCTAATATCGAACGGATAGTTAATTATGTGAATCTGCCCTAAGCCCACAACCAAACAAGGAACAGGACGTAAAGCGGAAAGCACTCATCCAACTGCCTATCAGATATTAATTATATATAACCCTGATGTATAAACTAAGGTATTATAGAATTAACCACCAAAGGTCCTTTAAGTTATACTGGTTTAATAAAATTGATTAAACCCTTTACTGATAAGTTTCTAGTTTAGCCTACTAAATGATCTATCTGAAAAAGTATGTTTTTGTACTAAAAAATGGTGTATTGAATTTGTATACTATGACCTGACCCATACCTGGTACTCCTTATGATTACTTGGTGTATACGGAATATATATATATATATATATATATATATATATATACATATATATATATATATATATATATATATATATATATATATATTATATATATATATATATATATATATCTATATATATATAGTTAGATCGAATAGATAGTAGACTGGGTGAATCTGCTCTTAGCCCACAACCAAACAAGGAACAAGAAATGAAGCGGAAAGCATACATCCTACTGTCTGTCGGACCCGATTAATATATATCCCTGATGTATCTACCGAGGAATCATAAAGTTAGCATTTAGGCCCCTTTCTAACTGAATGCATTAAGACTCGACTGTTCTGTTTGTCATTTGAATGATGTAAGTTTTCCCAAGCTTAAGACTATCGTTACTAGAAAATAGTTTGCATTACCTTTTATGTGAGAAGATCACTATATGAATGTAATGGGAAAATGAAAGTATTCAGTAATATTGTATAAGTAACTACTGAAACACTAACTACCTTAAAAGCAATTTGTTAATTTAAGGTTAAGATGTGATTTGGTTATAACCATACAAATCGACAAGTGTTTAACACGACGACCTGCTGGCATTGAAACTGATGTGACATTTGTCACCCCTGGGCCTGCCAGCCAAACTGTAGCGAACAGTCGGGATGTGGGCTTGTCAGTCCCGTATAGATCTATACACACAATGTCCGCTCTCCCTCTAGGAGACTTTGGTTACAAAACGCGACCTAACAAGTATATTGCTAAGCCGTGAAGTAGTCTCACATTAATGTTATCTTGTTCTTGTTCTCGTATGTTCCTTTCTGTTCTTGTTATCATATGTTCCTTTCTATTCTTGTTATTGTATGTTCAGAACCCCTAAACTATACCTATTATAGTTACTAGTATGAGTGTTTTGAACGGTCTCTAATTTGTAGAAAAGAGTCGATTACCTACTGAGTTATGATTGTACTTTAAAAACAGAGTTTTATAAACAACAATGTAACACAACTTAAAAGAGTTTTTGAAATGATTGATCACTTATAAAAGCATAAGAAATCCTTTAAAATGATGGTTATCACAGATAAACATTTACACAATATCATTGTGTTTAACTTGTATTTCCCCCCGTAAAAGAATTTAAAACATTTAAAAGATTGATTATAAGGGTATGAACTCACCTTATGTGGGTGATTCAATTGAAGATTCGCGTAAGGATGAGAAGTTCCACGAATGAAGTCCCGAGACACAAATGAGTCCTAAATGACATATATTGATACATATAGGCATGTAATTATCAAATCTAACTACAAAGGTGCTTGGGAAACAACCTAGGATGCAAGCATAACTCACCAAAGAAGTGTTGGAAACAAGGTAGGAGGTTGATTGGATGTTCGCAGCCCAAATGAAGGATAGTTCATGACCCAATGGAGTTCACGACCCAAATGGATGAATGGTTCACGGCCCAAATGTGAAGATCACTTGAAGATCTTTGTGTTTTGGCTAGTGTTTGAAGATCCTAGCATGCTTCTATGGAGTATCTAAGGAAAGCGGTGTTTTAAGAGTGAAAGATTGGAGTGTTTGTGGATGATACTTGAGAGAGAAAGGGGTGTTTGCGGCCAAGAGAAGGAAAAATGAGGAATAGATCAAAGAAGGGTACATATATGGGAGGGGTTCATGGCCACCCTTGGGTTCACGGCCGTGAACACTTTTTGATGGCTTTTCTGGTTCTATTTCATTCCTCTAATTCCAAGCTAACACTTCTCCATATCCAGTCCATAAGTGTACTAGGCTTAGAACTCATTAGAATGACCCTTAACAAGGCTAAAAGGCAAATAGAATAAGTCTGACTTTTGAAGGATTGGACTGACTTTACTAGATAGAAATTGACAGGTTGTCACATCATCCCCCCGTTAGATGGAATTTCGTCCCGAAATTAGCTTTCCTAGTGGTACTCCTGGGGTTGTGCTCATCTGAATGGCAGAATACTCACTCGTAGACCTCGGCATCTTTGCCCCGACGTTCATTATAAGATTCATACTTGGTCCATCTATCATCACCTCGTGTATACAAGTCACATATAATTAAGATTAGTAAGACGGTCGGATGTGCGACTCTACCCCAGGTCTACAACCAAACAAGGAACAGGAGATAGGGCGGAAACACACATACTAAATCTGCATAATCATAATTATATACCACTCTCGCGTATACACTTAATAGTGATAGGTGGGTTGTATTTGTCCTTAGCCTCTGTGCTTGAACTTGATCTGTTGGACGAGTGGTAGTTCGGGAAGGTCTGCTGAGTATACGGGGGCATGGTTTTGGAAGGCAATGCACTCCTCGCATGAATACTTCAGGGTTTACAAGACAAGAGACAAAGCTGAGGTCTACGTCGGATTTTCGGTACGAATGACGAGGGTTTCATTTATTTTTCGGTTAAGGCGATGGAATTTCGATACATATGAAGTTAGTATAATGAGGACCACGCCAATCTATGACCAAATATGAACATGGACTCTTTACAGAAACAAAAGTTAGGCCGATTTGAAAGAAACGTTTGTTATACGACGATGTATTCCGAGTGTGCTCGACAATGTATTGTGTGTAAACTTTCTAGTGCTTTCTGTTTTCTCCTTGATATTACCACTGCCAGAAATCATACCGCGATGAGCGAGTACTAATAGTGCAAGTGTTTTGATAACTAGTGTCGATACTTTATATTATGATCCTCCTCGGTACCTCTATTATCGCCTGGCATATACAAGTTATGTATAATTAAGATGAATAAGACGGTCGACTGAGTAACTCTGCCCTAAATCCACAACCAAACAAGGAACATGAGATAAGGCGGAATCACTCACTCTAAGTCTGCATAATCTTAGCTATGCACAACCCTGATGTACATACTAAGCCATCATAGCTTACCTGTATGGATCTTTAGTTCTCTTACGAATGTTGTGACTTGTTCATACGTGTGAGTTATTATAATTACTTTTAAAATTTCCCCAAGTTTTAATCTTATATAAATATAAATTAAAATTTTAAAGTAATTCTTATTTCGAAGACGTACAGCTGGTCGCTGGGGACTCCAGGTTAGTTTCTCCTGTGGTGATCATCAGAATTCGTCCATCAGCTCCAGAGTTCTTCGCTATCGGGCAGTCCCTCTTGTAGTGCCCTGTCTCACCACAGCCATAACAGGCTTGCTTTGCTTCTACTCCGTGGATTGGGAGATCGGTTGTGTTGGTGCCCTGCAGAACCGGGCAGTGTTCCCCTTCCTGTAGCAATTCGGGCATTGCATTTCCCGACATACTCTGGTGTGGTGGTAGTTACAACCCTCACACTTCAGGAGAGTTCCAACATATCGACTGGCAGGTGCTGGAGTAGCAAGTATTGTGGCTGCGTATATAGTACCCATTTGTTGCTCCTGCGGGGTTTCCTATGTTGTTCGATCTTTCCTCTTTTTCCCTGACTTTCGTTTATAGTCCCCTCCCTTTGATGGCTCAGGAACAGATACTACCACGCCATGGCAGACTCCGTGGTCAACGAGTCGCTGGGCCAGGCGTTTGGCGCTATCGAATGTAGTTGGGTTAGAAGACAGTACATCTCCTTGAATCGGGGTAGATAAACCCCACATGTACCTTTCTATCTTCTTACTCTCCGTGTTAACCATCCCGAGGCACAGTGCTGCCAGGTCGCTAAACATGTCAGTGTAGGTCACTATGTCTGAGCCGACCACGGTATGCTCCCATAGTTCTTGTTCCAGCTTTTGAACTTCGCCCCTTGGGCAATATTCTTCCAAC